ATAAGGTTAACAAATAGTGCAATTACTGACAAAAAGATGCTGAACACAGGAAAGCATAGAATGAAAACTTACTTAAAACTCCTACATAAAAAGAATAGAGAAAAAAAAATATATATATATATAATAAAAAGTTCACAAGGATCCCCCGTGTACTGGTACCATGAGAAAACACTTCAGCTGACTCTCTCTACATAGTTGGCTGGCAACATGCCCGTGACTCCCGTGCGCTGGATTGTGCCTGTCATCCATCCTTCATCGATGGCTGTACAGTTGATGATCAGGTCTCCATCCTTGAAGCTGACTTCATCCGTATCTGCTGCCTCATAGTCATACATGGCACGATAACATCGCTGCAAGGGGATAGTTAAAGTTAATTCAGAAGGAACAATGGCTGACATTGACAAAAGTGGCTGACTGTGCTGAACCATGGAACATGGCTTGTTATGTTGCAAGGAATACCATTGTGAATAGGTTAAAGTAAAGTATCTTTCATATAAATGAATAGAACTACACAAGCTACTATGCAAATGTACTGGCAATCTAATTGTGTCCTGTGTTTGATATTAAATGCAAAATATTTCCTCCCTCCTACATTCACATAATAGGTCACCCACTCATACAAAAAATATAAACACTCACCCCCAGCTGTGTAGGAGGAGCAGTGACCTTATGGTGGGGTGCTGCATTAGAATTCAAGTGCTGTGGTGGGGGCTGCTGGCCTGTAGTTGGGTCACCATATAAGTTGCTGCGCTGCACCTGAAATCAAGAGATTTCTAATGATTGGGGTCAAAATACAAAAGTACTACATCCTTTTACCATTAGCTCATGCTTTCTTATGTGGTTCTAATTAATCAACAGCCTCTGTGTTGTTAGATTACCAATCTTAGAGAAAGTACCTGACTACTCTACTTCTACTGATTATACACACTACTCTCCACTTCTCAAGACTCTGGAAACTTTCAAATATATATTTCTGGTTCAGTCAATACATTTCTTTCTCATTAAATAAACTGTTATCCATCTGAAAGTAGGGAGGGGGAGAGGGAAAGAGGGAGGGAAAGAGGGAGGGAGGGAGGGAGGGAAAGAGGGAGGGAGGGAGGGAGGGAGGGGGGGGGAGGGGGAGGGAGAGGGAAGGGAAAACCTAGAGTGATAATGATGGAAATAAAAATATATGTATCGCAATATATATATTTCTTTACATATAAATGTGCATGCGTGCGCACGCGCATCTGTGTGTGTGTGTGTGTGTGTGTGTGTGTGTGTGTGTGTGTGTGTGTGTGTGTGTGTGTGTGTGTGTGTGTGTGTGTGTGTGTGTGTGTGTGTGTGTGTGTGTGCGTGTGTTTCGTGCGTGTGTTTCGTGCGTGTGCGTATGTGTGCGTGTGCGTGTGTGTGCGTGTGCGTGTGCGTGTGTGTGTGTGTGTGTGTGTGTGTGTGTGTGTGTGTGTGTGTGTGTGTGTGTGTGTGTGTGTGTGTGTGTGTGTGTGTGTGTGTGTGTGTGTGTGAGAGAGAGAGAGAGAGAGAGAGAGAGGGCTGTGGAGTTGGGAATTTGGTGCTGATAGTGCTATGTATTATTTAAAGCATAAAGTTTTTTTTTTTTTTTTTTTTTTAGAGAATATACAATAAAAAGATATAGATATAGATATGCATGTACATATATCCATATACAAACATATACATATATATGTACATGTACATATATATTTACAGATATATATACACAAACATATGCACATACATATATATATATATATTTACATATACATATACACATACATATATATATTCACATATACATATGAACATACATATATATATATTTACATATACATATACACATACATATATATATATTTATATATACATATATAAACACACACACCCATATATATAAGAAAATTACAATACAATAATAATACCTTCTGGCCTTTGGGAATTTAGAAAAAAAAAAAAAATATATAGATAGTCTTATACTTACTCAGAATCCAACATGTGAAATTTTGATGCATGATTTTTTAGATGATACTGATGTGGAAAGTTCATAAAAAAATAATTGTTAAAAAAAAAGCATATACCAATAAATGCATGATCCTGTTCCATAGATGAATTTAAAATATAATAAAATTATCAGTTAGTTCAATCACAATCTTCAATAGAAGTATACCTGATATGATGTTTCCTGTCGATAGCCACCAGAACCTGTGTGCTGGCTAATTGAACCATACTGCTCATTCACTGGGTCGTAGTCAGCTATGCTACCAACACGACGGTTAGGCTGCTGTTGCACTGTTAAATAAATGGAGGAGGCATTTAGAACAGGATTATTTTTCTCCCCAGTTTATTCATGTACCCTTTTGTTGAAAATGTGAATTCATAATCCTATACATCTAAATATTGTGATGTACAGTATTCATAAGCTAAAAGTAAATAAAGGCACTGATCTGACTTTTAGGTGAATCATACTAGGATTGAATATATAAACTGCTATACAGAATACCTATCAATCTGGAAATATTTATAAACATCAAAGATTATTATCTTAATACATCCCTATCTATGTAAATTTTCCTCATTCAGTCCACTATCCTGTTATCTATCTATCTGTCTGTCATAAACATGCAAATATATATCCATGAATGGATTAACAGCCTTCTTGAACATAAGCTATTAGTTTAACACCCACACGCAATGCAATTTTGTGCTTTTACTTTTACTGAGACTGCTACTACTGTCTAATTGAGATCTCAATTGATATTGCATTATAACTGGAAAATGAAGTTAATAATATTATCTTAATACATTTTCTACAACTTTTTGTTGTTACTATCTGGGCAAAATAGATAATGCCAATAAAAATAGTAAGACACTACATTACATTGAAACACTTTATCTACAAAAAAGGAAAAACAAATCTGTGACTATAAAAAACATAAGGTAGAAAACCACACAGACAAGCACCCAATTATTTATACCCATGACCCCCTTGTCAAAGGTGTATTTGTTGATATTTGAAGATTTGTTCCACCATTGTTCATGAATGGGAGGATGGAATTCTACCACTTCATTTCCTCCTCTTGGCCAATAGTGTTCAGACCAATCTTCTCCCATTACAACTTCAATGTCATACATTCTTTTTATTGTATCTAGTTGAGGCAAAGGAAAGAAGTTCATTATAGATTGGGGTACATTCAATGCACAAAATACCAATCCATTGTAATTGATTAATGCAATGTGATTCAGAACCATTCCTGAAAACAAATACATATAAAAACAAATGCATAAACAAGTCATTACAAAACTGTAACAAGCCTTTGGTGGGTAAAAATTAATCTGGGCTAACTTAGAACTTTTCCACATCTTACAAAATTATCCTAAGAAATAAACACCCATCTATACAATAATACTTGCATGATAGCATCTTGGAGACCATGCAATTTGTGAGCATGAGTGACTCTGAACAAGTAACTTTCCTTCAAGCACTTATGACCAATGCAGTGGACAGTTGTCTGCTCTGGCCTGACTTTTATGGGTGGCTAAGCTCGTCCAAAACATTTCACCGGAGTCTCCAGATACAAAGAGGGATATTTTCATGATGATTGAAGGTATGTCATTAAAAAAGGAGAAAATCTATAAGATTACAAAAATATATAAGCAAAATAATTTTTTTTGGAAGGTTAAATTTTAAAATTTTTGGTTATGGAGAATAACACAAAAAAGACTCTAGTCTCTTCAACAACAAATTATTTATTTACTTAGATTGTTCCTTTTGTTTTCTTATTAGTGCAGCTGCTATCCCAACTGTCATCATCATCACCTGTTGTTGTTTAGTCTACATCTTTGCTTGTAACTACACAGCACTGAATGCAAATGACTCTAGATTTGACATTAGCATTGGAATTTTCCTTGAACATGATAGCAATGATCCTGCTGCCATGCATGTATGATCATGTAAATGGGGCCTAATCACTGAACAATTGCAATTGCATTTCAGACACTAGAAATCAGCTTCCTAAAATAGCATACTTGCAATTCATATAACCTTTTAGAATATAAAGAAAATACCTTTTCCTTTCCTTTGATGAAGTATATACAAACAAAAATAATATCATATTAGGAATTGTTACGCTATATAATGTTATTTGGTGAGAGTAAAGTGATCAACCAGCAAATAAGGTAAATCCAAAATGCACTTGGCATAAACAACTGATAACACCATAAACTGGCACAACATTAGCACTTCCAATTGTTAAAAATACAAAACAAATATCTTCCACAAAGACAAAAACTACAGCACTCTACCAACTACCAAAAGCAAAAGGCAAACAAGATTTCAGTGAACTTCCACTTACCTTGAAGCTAGAAATTTGTATTCAAAGAGCCTGTTTCACAAAACTGTTTCAAAGTACTTTTACTAATAAAATATACCAGTTTGCAAAATTAAGGTATGAAAGATATTATTCCTTTTTTTGATACTTGAAATCCATTATTTCTACCTTAACAATA